GCCTATCTCTCTGGCAGCTTTCCCACCAATCGCCAGAGAGGAAGCAGACATCCCAAACTTCAGATATGCGCCCGACCCCTCTGCATTTTAGCTGACTGGACTGCAGGTTTCAAAACAGATGCTTTTCAATGGAGCAAGTCCTTTTACATACCTTTAAAGAAAAGGAAAAAAAAAGAAAAAGGAAAGCCAACAACAACAAAGCTACCTACATCACTTCTTACTGACAATGGTAATGATTCAAACGGTATTTAAATCAGGTTTGGTTTCAGGATCCCCTATGATACACCGTCCTAAAAAGCAACAACATAAATACTGCCTCTCTACCAGAAAGAGACATTCAGTGCAGTACTGATTACAGCTGCAACACGGAGGGAGTAAAGACTAAATCAGTTTGGCATAGGAAGAGGCAATTCAAAGGAACAGCCAAGTGAAGGCAGCTGTGTTTTTAACAAAAAGTAACCAGGCACATTGCTACGAATAGAACAGAATTGACTTGAGTGTGACAAGGTGACACCAATATTTACCAGAATACTGCCCATGGAACGAACTGAGGGCTAACTCACAAGTGTCTCCCAAAGTAGGTACCTGTAAGGGTTAGGAAGTTCTCTTCTCCCACCCAGCTGTGCAACCTTCCAGATGCACCATGGCATCCCCAAGAGCACTGCACTTTTGTACTTGTGGACATTCAGGAATAAAACACCACAGCATGTTCCTCGTAGCAATCAAATGTTTTTTAAATGAGGGACTCTCTGGAACCCACCATTCAGGATGGCTGCTCATGCTAATGCTCAAAAAGGGGATGGAGCAAACCCAGAGCACTGTGCAGTGGCCAGCTGCGTGCCAGCCCAGGCAAGCCAACAGAGAAAAGATTATCCCACTAAGGAATTAGAGAACAGGGACAGCAGTAATGCCAGCCAGCATGTACTCGTGGAAAAAATGCCTTGATAAAAGGCTAACTTCACTCCTTGAGATTACAAATGCAGTCAAACAGAATGAATTATGCGCACAGAGTGTACTTGGGTTCCAGTGGAGATCCACATCAGCTGCTCCATATTGACTGGTGCTTTCTGAGAGCTGCCTGTTAGCGTTCTTCACGTGCTCTGGTACTGCACCATGTCAATTCTTTTTTGTCACTACATTTCAAGTCTGATGCAGTTCAACGCTTTGCACTGCAGATAGAAATCTGCGACCGTCACCACGCCTATGGGAGCAGTATATCACTGTGAGGAAAGGACAGCCAAAGAAAGAGGTCCGAATATCTGCTTCAACCGTGCCCAGAAAAGCAAAACGTATCTGAAAACAAAGGCAAATTCGTAAACTAAGAAATGCAAAACAAAACTGTTAAGTGGCAGACTTTATTAGGGAGAACCTCAGGGTCACAGCATGATTTCCCTATGCAAAAGGGGTCCTACAAACCTTATAAACAGCTGCATAGTATAAAGGGTCACTGCACCTTGATAGTCTGCGTGGATAAGAGGCAGACTGGAACACTTACCATGTTTGGTTTCCACTATGTTAAAAATAAATGGAGACCATGAAGAATCACCGGATGATCTGAGTGCTGGAGAAAATGCCTCAGAGTGAGACTTAAAAGCTCAACTCTGTTTCCTTATCAATTGACTAACGTGATTACAGAGTGTAAGTACCTTCATGGCAAGAAAGCACTGGATACTAAAGGGCTCTAATCTTGTCAGGAAAGTCATAACAAGAACCAGCGGCAGAAGTTGGACAAATTCAAATTAGAAATCAGCCACTTACTTGCAGCAGTGAGATGGCACACACTACCAGAAGCGAGGAGTCAGAAATTACTGGAGATGGACATTCAAGGCTGGAAAGTTATCCAAGCTTTTTTTCTTTGGCAAACATTGGTTATTGGTCTCAGTTTCAGAGTAAATGATTAAAATTTAAAGACTTGTGATATAAAACATATAAAACATATCAGACAAGGCAATTTAATTGTCTGTTCTCACCTTAACTTTTATGAATCTCCAATACGTTAACATCATTCTACTTCTACGGGCAGGGAAATTAAGGAGGGAGGGATAAGTTTCAAGTTCAGTAAGTTCCTCCTTTTTCAGATCGTTGTCCGTATCACTACACAGCACTGCTCCATCAAGCAGATGGAGCCCCTGAACGCAGTCAGAGCAAAAACCACCATGAGGTCTGGAAACAACGCATAACACAACTGGGCCGAGCAAACCGGTGATGAACTGCTTACCTCTCCCATCTGTGGCATGAAAAAAATCAGTATTAGCTTCAATAACTACTTCTTATTCTGTGTAAATACACTTATGTCATTCATGTTTATGTTACTGAGAGCAGCACGCACCACCACCCAGCCAAGAATCCTCAAATGCTTTAGGAACATGCAAACATCTCAACAGCCCTGAAAGGATTGTATTCATACTACATGCCGGTACACAGGCGAGTCAAGAAGTTTGCCCTGGGTCATAAAGCAAGACTTAATGGCAGAGCCTAGAAACGAGGGAGCCTGCTGACTTCTCCCTGCCAGAAGAACTTTCCTTTTCAACCTTTGAGTGCTACTACATGTCAGAGCTGCGCACACCCAGCTCCAACTCCAAAGCCCCGCCAGTGAAATCACAAAGGGACTTCTAGTGAAAGCTGACATTGTAACCAGAGAATCTGATCATGGCAGAGAAAGTGTCCAAAATAAAGGTCAGAATAAATACCCAAGTAGAAACAGCGCTTGTATTTTATGAACTAACGAAATGCTTTCTGCTTCCATCAGTATTGCAGTACTGCTAGAAGAACAAAAAGCAGATTCAGGGCTTGCTTCAGAGCGCATAAGAAAGGGGCAGTTCTAAACGCAGGAAATGACTATATGCTACACTTCCTAATTGATACGACATAGCTTATCAGAAGAATAAAACCAGCTGCTCACAATGCTCACTGAAAGCACAGCCCACAGTATTGTTTCAGTGGGAGTTGTTTTATTGACAAACTTCAGAAAGTGAAAAGGAAAGAAGGTTTCTGAACTACTAATTTAAAAAGGGGAGAGGAAACCAAAGCCAGGAATTCAAGGCAAGAGAGATTGAGATGGGGGTATTCAGAACCAAACATAATTAATATATTTTGCATGCCTGGCTCGCAAATTACTTCCTTACTCCAATATTAATACCTCATCTACAACCACAGCAGTGAATGGGATTTCTATAAATTTAATCTAACCTCCATAGATTCCTTACACGTACGGAGAACAAAAGAAGGCCCCTCCATCTATGGAGCACATAATAAAATCTGTTTTCCTCCGGCTGCAAAAAACTCTTCCACAGGTCTGAAAGTAACACCCAACTCACAAGGCAAATAGCAGCTGGAAGAAAGCACTGCCAACATGCTGCAGACACACACACAAAGCCAGGTCCCTGTCCAGCCAGACCACAGAAGTCCTTTTGGTATATATATGTATATAAAACCTGATTAGCTACACCTGCTGATACGTTTCAGGACAGTAACTGCACTAAAACCACCATGAAACGAAATAAACGTTCCTATGGAAATTCTGTAGGAGAAAGAGTTAACTGACCTTTCATACACTGGGGCTGCATGGAAAGACGAAGCAGAATTCACTCTGTCACAAGCACTCCACTACAGCAGTTCCCAGTTTTAAGAGCAGTTTTTAACTTCAAACTCTGCAAGCAGCTTTGATTAAAAACTGGGAAAATGAAATCTGCACACAGACGAGAAGAGTAACCAGTCCTACACTATTTAGTACATAAAGAAGCCCATCAAACCAGCAACTGCTCAATATTTTGGTGTCCAGGTTAACACGGCGCTGAATCAAAACTGTAATAATCATGCATGCACATTCTTAAAGATCTCAAGTCCACCACTGAAAAATTCCTATTAAGCAAATAAGAAAAGAAAAGCAACGCAAGAAAAAGGTGCATCCCATATGGTCTTATAAGAAGACTTATCCCAGTGCTTCTTTTGGTCTGACAGAAAGGGAAAAAAAAATACCTAACAGCTTTAAAAGCAATAAAATTAAGAGAATAAATGAGGAAGACAAGTGTCAAACCACAGAAGTCAATGGAAGACGGGAAATTCTCCCATTGCTGTAAAATAAATAAATAAACCTCATTGACTCGGACATTTGTGCTGAGTGCATTACAAGATTAGCCAAGACATGCCATGTATTGACAGCATATTAGTGTATCACAGGTGTAAACGTGCGGCAGCTGGGGAACTGAGGCAGCTGTGTACAACTGTCACGGACTCAACGTGTGGCTCTGAGTCACTCAGCCTCAGTTTCTCTACCTTTAAAATACCGAGAGCTTCATGAAGTACGTAAAGATTCGCAGGCTAAGGTACAAAGTATTCCTTTATCAGGGAGCAGTAAAGGAGGACAGTGGCTCAGCCCTAATGAATCAAATCTGAACCATCAGAGTCCTGCTCCAGCAGTGCACCACACAAGTGGTGGCCATAAATCGATCACTTCTGATTAGGTTAGGCTTTACGACGCAGTAATTGTGATAGCAGCAGTTTCATAACTGTGAAACGAGCACTTTGCTCAGCAGCACATTATGCAGGAAGCCCGCATGAACAACGACCTCTTTGGTCAACCTGACTGCACCAGCACAGAACAGAAGCATCCCAAACACAATATATGATTTTTAAGGTTCTCTACCATAAAAACTCCTCCGTTTGCTTTCACGGCTGCAGGCTAACCCAGTCGAGTGGGAGGAGAGGGGGGAAGGAAATCAAACAATGCAATTCTTAAGAAAGACCAGAATTCAAGCATTTCTATCTCTCTGCAGCAGGCACAGCACAGAAATAAACGCATTTCTCACAGTGGCAAGATGAAATTTTCACTTGGCCGGCAACTGCAGAGCCCATTCCCTGCTCTTCTCTGCGGACCACATGACCGCCTCAATGCATAAGAACATTTTTTGTGCCAGCTTGCAAAGAAGACCACATAGTTAATAGTTTGCAACCTCCTTTCCCCCAGAAGATCTTCAGTGTTGAGTAACAAAATTCCTCACATGATTTCAATGAGAGGGTTCACTTGTCAGAGGCTGCTCCGAGATAGTATCAGATGTCAGGGAGGTGCTGTTTAGACGAAGCTTTCCAACCCTTTCCTTGCAAGGCTCAACTGAAAAAGAAAAAAAACTTCAGGCTATACTGTTTGAAACTGTTTGAAGAAAGGAAAGTAATCTCTAGACGTTATTTTTAAAACGTGGAAGTAAGCCAATTAACAAGGGGAGGAAGAAACACTGCAATTAAAACCTTGACAAACTGGAGATCAAGGACTGATTGCTGCCACAGACTCCATGCAGGACCCTGAGCATCTTAATCCCTCTACACCCTGGTTTGTCACCTGCGAAACCAAAAATAACACTTTCTTTTCATACCTTGTTATTCCTGCTTGCTCTGTTCCCCAATTTATAAGCACTTGTCCAAACATTCATCTTTAGCATGAACACTGGAAACGGCATTCACAGCTAACATACAATCAGTCTGCATGACTGAGTGCTCAAACGTGAACTCTTAGTATACTTGGCTGCCCAGCTGCCCTCATCTCTGTACATGTCAGAAAGGAGTTCTAGTCAACAGAGGAACACTAGAATGCTAAAATACAATTTATTAATAATCTAATTTATGAAAAGAGCTCTCAGGATGGGAGTTGACCAAAAAAATTCCATTTCTCCTATTACCTCCTAAAATCCCACTAAAATCATGCCATTGGTCTCACTCCATTGATAATACACAAGATAACATTATCAGCATAGGTATAATTAAAGGGGCAATCCCACGAGGGCTCACACACAGATCCAACGCCTGCTCCATTAAAATCAGCATCAAGTGAAATCGACTTCAGCGACTTGAGAAGTGTCAAAGCTGCAGAAAGGAAGGGGAGAAAGGACGACACGCTCCTCTGCAGCAGGAGTCTCAAGTTGGCAGCACCCCTTCAAGAGCTCCATTTCAAACCCTAAACTTTGCATGAGATGAGAACTCCTCGCCACAGATCCCAGTGCTGGAACGTGTGTTTCTGTAGAGCCCTTAAAAGCTCAGCACAGAAATCACAGTAAAACACGAGTTGCTTTTTTCAGATTCAATTGTGCAGTTCGTTTGATGGAAATCTGTTCATGTCCTACTGCATATCACCAAACATCTTCAGAGGTGCCTTTATGAAGTGGACGAGGCTGGGTTTTTTTATTGCTCGTGCTTCTGTTTCATTCATTCTTCCAACTCCTCTCCCAAACACCGTATCCTAAACGCCCAAATCCCATCTCTGCCTCACTGATGTTCAACAAAGCGCAGTCCCAAACGTTAATGACAGAAAACATCCGGAAATTTATGCTCAATGGAAATTAGTTTTATTAAAAATAAAAACCATGTTCAAAACCAATGTCAGAAGCCCCCATTTTCCCAGCTCCAGACACCGAGGAAAACACATCAAACACTTCCATGAACCACGGATCATCACTGTAAAGTAAACGCTTCATAATAAATTCAATTTCCAAACACTGGACAGCTGTGAACTTCTAATATAGCCTTGAAAGAGACCCATAAAGCTCACACAGAAACTGCCTTAGAAGTAGCAGTGAGCTTTCTGCAGCAGACACTGGCTCCTAGTTCTGTGGAATTACCGTATCGCAGTACTGAAGGGATGCATATTTTCTAGAAAGGTCAACAAAACATAAAAGAATTGCTCAAGACCGCTTAATGAAGTAGTTGTAGAGAGAAACAGGCCTCATTCACACAGTATTTCCTTGAAGATTTCCTTACCATTCTTTAAATACCCTGCAATTTCACCTCTGGTAGCATTCCTGTAACACAGCTGGCAGTCTGCATACCACAATGTCGTCTAGACCTGCTCTGAACAGAGTTGGATGACACAGGAGTAAAAATGCTGATGCCTGTTCGGGTGCCTGCGCTGTGCTGAAGGAACGATAGGAGGAAGAAGAGGCAGAGCTGAACGAGACACAAGTTCCTTGTTCCTCATCTCACGCCCAGGCTCGTCAGACAATCCCGTCAACCATACAGAAAAGTTGTGGCTGTCATGGGGCTAAAGAATAATCTTCACAGAAGGGAAAAAAGCATTCCCAAAGCCCTGGTAGCTGATACAGCATCAAGCACTGCTCTTTCACAGACGTCTCAAAATATACAGCTAACAAACACATCCCTACACTGCTGTATCCCATCCATTTCTCACTTCTTTCTTACTTCCCTCCCCCACCTGTGCCTCAGAAATGTTTTCTTAGCAATTTGCAAGAGAAATGGCAAAAAGGAAGATGCAAAACACAGAAATAAATTAAGTTTCTTCCCCGCTGCTGAACGATTTGGCCGTACCATGACAAGAGGAAAAAAAATGTTGAGTGATAAATCCATATATACCTACTCCAAACTACACCCGACATCCCGAGGGACCCGATGTAATGGTAAATAAATATAGATGCAGCTCCTACTAATGAGGTAGGGTACAGCAAGGCCAAAGCAAATGCAATCATCTCGGGGAAAAGAACTGCACAGGACTCCTCCTCTCCCATCCATGGAGGAAATCAAATACCAGCCGCACCATCCCAGGAAGAAAGCAGTGTACCTGATGAGCCCTGCAGCAACGAGCTGCACGGGATGCAAGCAGGTACTTCAGGGCTCTGGGAGCCCACAGACCGTCTGCACAGCACCGAGCCTTTCTCCACCAGTTTTCCCTTCTCCAATACAATGTCTTTTACATGCTGTCTTACAAGCAGATTGTAGTTTTTCCCCCAGTTTCCTTCCCCTCCACCCCTATACAGTTGGATCAGAGGGGGGGGGTGCACGCTGCCGGGGTCCATCAGATCGGCTCCCACGTTGCCAAGCCCTGGCCATCAGGTTAACACTTTCCTCCCTACAAAGTTTAAACCTTCCCAGCTTCAGCTCACGTGCGTTCTGTACTTAAAGCCACTTATCTGTAGTCCCAATGAGCACAAGAAGAAATTAAGATACAGCCGGCTCTGCAGCCGGCGTGCTTACAGCCTTTATTTTCCTCTTCCTTCTTCCCTCCCCATCCCCAAAAAAACATTTTGTCCCCTGCACAAGGAGGGAACAACACCATGCATCCACAGCTTTTTCCAGACCCACTGAAAAGAAAGGGGAATAAATAAATAACCATTCCAAAGAAGTACTCTGCAAAACAACCGAAAAACCCACCAGAGGTGGAAGAACTCAGCCCAACCCGCCTCGAATTTGCGATTTGAGCCGAAAAAACACAAGCAGAACAGTACAGAAGTCGGGTTGGCTGCGCCCGGAAGCGGGGCAGGTTGGGTGGGCAGCATCCCCTGTCCTTTCCCCGGCCACGCTGGGCTCAGAGCTCTGCTCAGCCCCGAACGAAGCCGGGCACCCACAACGCAGCACCGCAGCTGCTCTCCCCGAGAAGTAAGGAATAAACAAGCGGCTGACACCCCGCCCAAACCCTCCGCACGCGTTTTTAAGAACGATTTCTCGCCGGCTCCTTCTCCCCATCCCGCACAAACGAATCCATTCGGGTCGACGCCTTCGCCCTTCCCGAAGCCCTCCCGCAAAGCCCCGGCAGCGGCGTGCCCTTTCCACCCCCCACCCCCCCATATATCAGTAGGAAAGCAGCGGGATTCACCCAGAATGGGTGATGGGTCCGTCGGGGGTCGGATCCCGAAAAGAAAAGAGGGGAAAAAGGGCTGAGAGAGAGAAAAGAGAGATGAAGGAGAGGGCCCCCCAGCCCCGCTCGGGGTTCGCAGCCCCTCAGGCGGCCCCAGCCCGAAGTCGGCAGCCAACAACACCAAAACAAGCCGAAAAAAAAAAAAAACCCCAAGAATAAAGAAATAAATGAAGGAGCCAGCACCCACCCAGCCTGAGGGGAGTCCGCCGCCGCGAGTTCGTCCTCCCCACGCCCGGCAGCGGAGATGGGGGGGGGGGGTTGGGGATGTGGGGGGTGTAGGGGGGGGTGAAACAAAACAGAATAAAAAGACGAAGCAGCAGCAGCGAGATCCCGGAAAGCCGGGGGCACCTTCCTGCCCACCCCGCGCCGTCAGGAGCGGCGGAGCCGCGCGGCTGCAACTCGGAGCGCCCAGGGGGCTGCGCCCACCCCCGGCCCGCGTCCCCCTCCTCACGCACCCTCGGCTCTCCTCACGCCGCGAATCTCTCAGGCGGAGGGTGAGGAGGAGGAGGAGGAGGAGGAGGAGAAGAGAACGGGGGGGGCCCTTCCCCCTCCCACCCTCCCTCCTCGCAGCCCACCCACCCGCCCGCCCTCTCCCCTCGCTCAGCCGCCCCCCCCCTTTTCCCCCCCGCACCCACACTCACCTCCGGGTGCCGGCGGCTCCTCCGCTTCACCATTGAACGGCCGCCCCCGGCGGGGAGCCCCCCCGGCGTGAGGGGAGATTAATGGGGGCGCAGCGGGAGGAGAACAATAGTGGGGCGGAAAGCTCTCGGCTGCCGGAGCCCCCCCCGAGGACGGGAACCCCCCTCCCCGTCTCGCTTTCCCTTCCTCTCTGTTGGGTGTTGTTGGGTTTTTTTTGTTGGTTTTTTTTTTTTGGCTCGCTCACACCAGCCTGACTGTCTTTGTCTGTCTGACAAGCGCCATGTTGATATCAACATCCGAGCTCCCACCTGCTGCAGCTGTGAGACCCTGGGACTTGTAGTTCCCCCCTCCCCAGGGTGACGGGGAGCGCCGCCGATCGTGGACTTCAACTCCCAGCATGCCCGGCGGCGCGGCACGCCACGGGAGAGCGGGGAGAAGCGGGGCGAGGACTACGGCTCCCATCATGCCTCGGGAGGAGCAAGGTGAAACGGAGGGAGGGCGGGCCAGACCATGACGTCATCGCGGGCTGGGGGACTACAAATCCCGTGATGCTCCGGGGCGGGAAGGGGGAACGGGCAGGCAGGAAGGCGGGGGCAGGGTTGTCCCCGTAAACAGAGCCGGGTGAAGCATGAAGCTGGTGAGTGGTGGGGGCTGCTGAGCGGTGAGCTGGGCGCTGATCTCTGCGCTGGGTTCGCCCTCGGGCTGCGGTACCCGTGGGGTGAGGGCGCTTCCCGCCGAGTTAGCGGCGCGCTGGGGAGGGCGGTTGAACCGATCAGAAACCGTCCTCCCGCCCCTCCTGGGTTTGGGTGAGGGGCAGGCGGGGGGGTTGGCACCTGGAGGTGTTTCTACAGCGGTACGCCGTCCTGCGCGCGTGGGGCTTCTGTGGGGCTGCCCCAGAGCCACGTCGCTACGGAAGTTGTGCTGCTTTCCTGTGAACGGGATAGCTGAGGAGACGAGCAGCGTTTGCTGTGACATCAAACGTCCGATGCGTTTAACCTGATGTCAAACGTAACGTTGTGGGTTTGAGGCTAAGGAAGCTTTATGGAAGTGAACTTGGTTTCTGGGCTTGTTTTGAGACTTAAAGTTCATCGCGTTTGTGGTTTAATTGTAAAATTAGTTCAGCAGGTGGTGGAAAAGCTTGATCCCACGTGATGTGGGAGATGGAAGTCTGTGTGTGTGGATGAAGGTCCTGGAGCGTGTCCAGAGAAGAGCAAAAAGCTGATGGGTCAGCCTGGGGCAGGGGAGGCTCAGGGGAGAGAGACATCATGGCTCTGTGCTGCACCCTGAGAGGAGGTTGTGGTGAGCTGGGGGCCAGCCTCTGTTCCAGCTCACAGCGATAAGAGATGTTGGCCTCAAGTTGTGCCAGGAGAGGTTCAGGTTGGGTATTAGGGAACGTTTCCTCAGAAAGAGTGACCCACCTGGGGAGGTGTTGTGGTCACTGTCCATGGAGGTGTTCCAGAACCGTGGGGATGTGGCACTGAGGGACGCAGTGGGCATGGTGGGGTGGGTTGGACTTGGAGACCTCAGAGGTCTTATCCAACCGTAATGATTTAATGAATGCTTGTGGTTGGAGAAACTGGGAAAGCGTTTCTGGGCATGGCTGTGGAAGCTGATGTTGTAGTGTAGGGGGAAAAGCCAACTGAGAAATCTTTAAATGAAGACCAGTGGGAATGTGGGATTCCTTGTTGTTTGTAGAGCCTTGTACAAGGGTAGATTGAGGGGAAGGTTTGGTAGGGGATTACAGGCTGTCTGCCATCATTTCAGTGTTTTTAGGCCTGTGTCCCACGTTTGGGGACTGGTGATTGTAAGAGCAGATTCTTCACTTTGTATTTGGTCTGGAGATAGGACTGAATCAGGGGATTGCAGAGACAGGGAATTGAATGCTTTCATCCTCCATTCATGTACATTTGCTTTGAATTTGGAAGAACAAGGCAGAGGTAACAGCCTGCAAGCCTGACTCAGAATCCAGTGGAAAACTCAAACTTCAACAAATTCAGTGTGCTTGGGTCTGAGCAAATCCAGTTGAGAGAACTGGTTCCATGGGTAACACCGGAACAAAGCGCTGCAGTATTTGTTGGCTTCAGTTCAACTTACAAAACTTGGAATGTTTTGGAGCTGCTAGCTTGAGATGTCATCTCTTCTTTTTCTCTGTCACTTTGCCATATATGAGCTCACCAGCGACGTTCCAAGCTGGCGAGCCCTCAGCCTGAGCCAGATGTCTGCTGAGAGCCAGGCTGTGTGAGGGCTTCAGCCCCCCGCCTTCATCTCTGTGCCCTGCTCTGCCAAACTGCCATCCAGTTTAGAGAGCAAGTCAAGGGAGCTGTGCACTGAGATGGGCACACTCGTGGTCCTTTATGTTTTGTGTCACTCACAGAGTGACAGCCAACCAAATTCCTTGTTTGTACATTCACTTTTTCGCCAGCTTGGTTTATCAAGCTTTCTTAAACTTTGGTAACAGCAGACAAAATGTAATGTTGCTCCTTAATAATTAAGGCTTCATGAACTTAAAACAGAGGACTGTGATGCAGTTAATTTAATATTTGAACGTTAGTGGGCTTTAATATTTAAATATAATTTAAAACAGCTTTCTGATGAATGTATGTAAACAGTCTCCTTGGGAGTCGTTAATTCAAACAGTTGCAGTCCTGTGTTAACATATTGTGAACGGAGGCAGAGAAGGAAATGATTAATCTACCTTCTTTTCACTTGTGGAAAGCAAGCATAAGGAATAAATGCCTTAGAAAAATGACAGTGTTTAGTGCAGTGCATGAACAACAAGTTGATACTTGTCATGTTAATTGACCAAACCTCGAGTTTGAAAGCTGTTTGACCAGCTGAGAGTAGTTGTGCTAGGGGATGCCCGGACTTTGAGATGCAACATCTCTTATTCCTGTGGTCTTTGAAGAACCATTGAGTACCTAGTGGTTGCTGTCCTGTACTCAGACATCTGTTTCTAATCTCACGTTTTAAAGGTAGCATTTTTATTCATCTCTCTTCTTATTCAAAGCTTCAGCTGCTCCTGTGCCTTGTTAAATGCTTGCTACTCTGGGTACTGGAGATGGCTGCATCTCAATGATGCTGAAGTGCCCAGCACATAACCTGCTTACTGGCTCATTAACCCTGCAAAACGCTGGGGATTTCTCAGTACACAAACTGTTCCATTCAGGTATGGTGGTCCATTCCCTAGTGTTTCCTGCTTGAGTTTAGCAAGACAAAAAGCAGGTGAGAGCATGCCCTGGAGCTGCTGCACTGCACACTACAGCTTCCTCGGCATGCTCTGCACCTTGCTTCTTGGTTGAGGTTAATTCCTTAAGGAAATATGACTTGTGCTCCTACAGCAATTCCCTGTTTCCATGCCAAGTAATTCTTGAATTTGCACACCGATTTCAGCCGAATTTTGCCAGTAGGACCAAGCTGTAAAGATTGTCCAGGATCTTTGTGAAAATGGGTGCTTGCGGAAGAAAGGTTCTGTATGTGCCATAAATCAGAGAGAGCTGCTACTCTATCCGTTTGTCCTTTGTGAGCAGAAAACCTTGTCAGAAGAAAATCTGCATCTTAATACCCTGGCGTGGGGAAATCCCAATGAATGTCTAGTTTTGAGACAATAATTCACGTGAAACCAAGAGTTTCATTCTGGCATGCATGAAACTGCGCTTAAAAATGAGGGAGGAAAAGTCCATTTCCAGGGGATTCGGTCTGTTGGTAAAGGCCTTGAGGAACTCATTTCCTATTCTACTTTCAGTACTGCCTGTCGGGACATCCCACCTTACCATGCAACGTGCTCAAGTTCAAGTCCACCACCATCATGCTGGACTGTGGACTGGATATGACATCCACCCTCAATTTCCTGCCGTTGCCGCTGGTTCAGAGGTATGTTCTGCAGCCTGTGAGCACTTAGTTTGTGTCTTCTTGGGTTGCAGTTTGAGTGCTCTGCATGAAATGGTATATTGGAAGGAGAGAGGGGATGAGTACAAATGAACTGCATCATCTGATATCATAAATAGACTTTGTTCACTTAAAAATTCTCTTTATCAAAATAACGTCCTTTGGCTCAGTAGACGGAAGACATTTTATGGATTTATTGATTGGTTTTTCTAGATAATTTATTCTAAGCTTCAGTAAGGTATTGCTGCAACTGCTCAGCACAAGTGAGGTCACATATCTGTCATCTTTCTGGCTTCTTCATGCAAGATGAGATAAATGGGTAACTGAGATGGAGTGCAGGGAGCCCAGCAAGTACTGTTTAACCACCATCTTCTCAGGCTTTTTGTCAGAGCGTGGGCTAATGCAAAGAAAAATAGCACTTAACCATCCTCCTTAGTTGACTTCATGGCATAATTGTTCCCTTTTAAAATTTAAATAAATAAAAGTGCAGTGCACACTGGAATGAAGCAGCAGTGAAGCAAAAGTAGTTCAGGAAGAGAATCCTGAGATCAAAACTCCTCCTTCCATGCTCTGGCTCACAGGTAGCCTTTTCCTGGATTTGTGAATGGATTTGGATGTTCAGAGTGATGCATGTCTTGCATTAAGTGGAACAGATTACTGTCCCACTGTTTGGGAAGGTGGGAATGAGTAGATCCTGGTGGTGTGAAGCTAGCAGGAGTTTTCACAAAAGGCTCTTAGTGACTTTGATCCATAGGGAAAGAAGTGAGATGTGTTTGGGTTCAGGGGAGGCTGGGTTGAAAGGGCCAGATTGTGACAGGGAAGGGAGTTTTGTAAGTGATCTAATGAGGTTAAAGCAGATGATCAGCACTTTGTACAATTTGCTGTTTCTTGGAGAAGGGAAGCATAGACAACACAGGCATTATTCTGGAAGGACATGGAGTTCCAGGCTCTGTACAGTAAGCAGCAGATGCCTAAAGGCAGATCTGTGTGATAGTTTATTTTTGCTAACTTTAATATTCAGGAGCAGTAGTAGATTTAGGAATATTAAGAAAAAGAAAGGGTGAATCCAGCTGCAGACTATTCAGTTCAATGCAATTGCCTTGCATTAGCTTCTCTCCACTCCTGAAAGAAAAGAGAAATTGAAAGGGGAGCAAGTAGCAAAATTAGGTGATTGGACAAAGGCTTAGGAGGTTCTTAGAACTTGAGGCATCAGTGCTCCCCTGGGATATGCCAGCTTTGTCTCCTGATAGCAGACCCTGGGAATGAACAGCCAAATTGCAGGTCACAACCTGGAATTCCCCAAGTACCTCCAGAATGTCTGCACTAAAATGACTCTAACTCAATAAGAAAGGATGTCAGATTTGACCCCTGATGGCCCAGAGGAATCTGAGCAAACAGTTGAATTTAAATCCAATCAATCATGTCCTTAAGGTGATTGAACACCCCCTACAGCA